ATTCCAAATCTCTCCCTCTCCGCAGTAAGCAATCCTTGCACTCCGAACTGAACTGGAACTCACACTGAACTCGACCCCCCCCCCCACTCGAACTCGAACTGAACTCGACCCCCCCTTGAAAAAATTGAACTTCGAACTGAACCCCAACTCGAGCGACCGCGAACTCGAACTGAACTCGAACTCGTTGCCCTCCCCTTCCTCTCCGTGCCCTACTCTTCAACTGTTCTCGAACTGATCACGAACTTTGTTCTGGAACTGTTCTTGAACTGTTCACGAACTGTTCCCCCCCTGGTCATGCAGGCTTGCCTCACTTGCTGAGAAACCGTGCGACACGAACGCGAACACGAAATGAACTGGAGCCCCCCACCCCTCCTTAAAAAATTGAGCCCGAGCGAACGTGAACTCGAGCTGAACTCGAACTCGTTGCCCTTCCCTTCCTTTTCATGCCCCACTCTGGAACTCTTCTCAAACTGATCACGAACTGTATTCTGGAACTGTTCTCGAACTGTTCCCCTCCCACTGGGGTACTTACTGACCCCCTATATGACCCCTGAAACCCCAAACCCTACACCCTGAACCCTACATAAGTCACCAGGTGCGCTCCAAGGACCTCACAGCCTGAGTCTTGCTTTGCAGTGCCACCGCCACCTGCCAGAGCCTTGGTCATAATGCCCTTAAACGGGGGGTTTAGGGTTTAGGGAGGGGATGTACAGGAATTCTGTAGGCATTCTAAATTGATTGTATTGACTTGTATTGAATGTAATAGAATATTAAGGGGCTATGTGAGATTGTAGCTTTGGCATGAATATAAAAGAAAAAGGAAGCTACGGTACTGCTTGGGGTTGAGGGGTTTGATGTAATAAGAGGTGCTTGTGGTGATCCGACACACCATTGAGGAGATTCTCGAAATATTCCCTGGCCTTGGGGCGGGCCCCTGTTTTGCGGGTTCCCAACAGGCCATAGTTATGTCTTCTGGTTGTTGTCTTTATCTTAATTAATAGTGGCGATAGCCCCTATTGACAAATCCTCCCCAACGTAGTGCCATCGTATACGAGGTGGAGTAATTCATTATAACAGGTTCGGCAAGTTGTTTACTGACCGGAGGGGATTTCTTGGTTCAACCACCGAAAAACCATCACCCACGTTACGCAACCTGCCGTCCTGCCTGCTTCGCACTTGGACTCACTTCCTGGTTGTTAGGCACGGGGGATGGAAGAATGGATCGCTATATAATTGTCAGCCTCATCTCATCCCACAATAAGCTGATAGTTTCCATTTTCCATTCCGCTAAGCCCTGGCACTGTAAACCCTCAATGGTCCTTTGCAAATTGTTGTCCGCTCCTTCACTGCCTACCAACCATCTGCAAGACCACCCGCCGGTCGGCTCAAAACCAGACTGCGCATCACTTAAAGACATGATAGAGATGGGGCCAAAAGCCAAAACCCGCTACGAAGAGCCGAAGAGCTGTGCCACGTAACTGTTGTTTTCAAGAGAACTTGCAACCAGTCATCCACTTGAATGGTGCGGAAGCCAATGAAGCAAGCCTGCCTCTAATGCACACATGCAGACATTCACTCATAGCTAGTGCTGCAAGTAGTGACAGCACCAAAAACTACCGAATACTGATAGCAAGCACCTCCTGATGCGAACACTCAGAAATCTGGACTCACAAGAGTTTTCATGATATTAGCAATACCTTGTTGAGCATACTTGACTTGTATTGCAAGTCGGGCCGCGCTAGTTCGGATATAGGGTAAGCTTGTGATGTCCTGAATCTTGTGGTTGGGCTTTTCATAAGAGGAGTATGACCTTACAAGCCTTACATGCCCATCCAATAGCACCTATCACTTGAACGCTGCCTGAGAAAGGGTTCAGCTGCTGAATGTGCGGACCACCGCATATAATGAATGGAAGAGGACAGTCTCCTGGTTCGCGCGTGTTTGTACTTGTTCCTGTGCTTGTTATTCTTTTGGAGATTTTTGGAGCAATCGAATGGTGGCGGTGCTGCTGTTGCTTCTTTGTCTCCTACCACCACTGCCGCCACCACCACCACCGCCGCCGCCGCCACCACCAACACCACCACCGCCACCACCACCACGACCACGGCGCCCACGACGACTACTACTACTACTACTACTACTACTAATTACTAGTACTACATTATTACAGTAGTACTAGTGAATCGATCAGGCCTACTGTCTACCACTACAATTACTTTGCTCATTCATGTTTGGTGTTGTTACGAAATCTCTAAGCCCTAAACTTACCTGGAAGACGACACTTTTTTCCACCATGCGTACACTGTCTTTTATGATGATTCTTTGTGTCGCTGCTACGAATCTGTGGGAAGCACATGGTGACTCTATGGTGATTTTTCGCAGACAGTAGGGATCTACGTACAAGAACAGCGCATAGCCAGTGTGTATTGAGGTGAAATGGGGCCATCTTGTTAAGACAAAGGTAGCTATGACAATTACTCCGGTGTTTGAACAGACCCTGCATGGAAGAGGACATCCTCCTCGATCACATGCCGAACATACTGGCGTATCTTTGGGCAGTTCTGGCCGGCGTGTCGGTGGCTTTCCAAGTTGGGGCCGTCGGGAACCCAGTTGCTGGTGCCACTGTTGATACGAAAAATCCTGCATGACCTTATTATATAAGAATACCATAATTCCCAAGGAATAGGGTACTTAGGGTCATGCAGATTTTTTGTATCCTTCGTAGCGGTGATGATTCCAATGTCTGTTGGTGCTGGTCAGCTGTCAACAACAAAGGGGTCTACGACACAGGGTATGGCCGCAACTATCACTGAAGCAGGATCCTTTCCCGGCAAGTTGTGGTGAGCAACTTATGCAAGTTAGCATGCGCCTAGGTCTTTGGATAGGTACCTAGAATACTCCTCAATCCTTCCTACCGTTTCCCAAGGCTCCCGGAAGGTTCTTCAGTGCCCGTATAAAATGTGGCAAAAAAATGGCCCCGGAGCAAATTGTTTCGCTGAGCCAGGGCGTCATACTCAATGACACGCCCTCTCCTGCTTTTGAGCATTCTGCCTACGTGTTCACCATCAACTTGGCCATTGGCGCTGTGTGGCTCCTGGTGCTAGTGAAGTTTCAAGGCGCCACGGCATATCAGCAGCATGTGTTTCCCGAACAATCCGAACACGTATTGCAGGGTCCTTGTTTCAAGGGTTGGGAGTCTGGGAGCAGTGGCTTGACCAGGATTTGTTGCTTCCGAGCCTGGAAAAATTCACGGGTCTCGCATGCGCACTCTATGCAGGGGGTGAGGGAGGGGGGTGGGAAAAAGGGGACTTGATCACAAATCGTTGCCTTCGCGTTTCAAAAGCGTGTTTAGGGATGCGGGTTTGGGGCAATCTGTAATGTAGAATCCTGAATGCTTGGTGCATGGGATTCTTTTTGATTATTGCAGCATACAGTACCCACGAAACACCGCCTTTATCAGGCCGCTCCAAGAGCTTTGAATCCAATCTTGAAAAATCTCCACATTCCCACAAATCGTGGATGATCTCCGCAGCGTTCCCTAAAAGTGCCCATAGTTCTCAAACGTGCACAAAGTCTTAAGAAACTGCCTAAGCTGCAGACCCTATATCCCCAAACATGCCTACATGCTCCTATATGAGCCTGATTATAGGCCCGCAAGTAGGGTTTGTGTCTCAGGCGGACCAGACATGAAGCCCCCGGCCAAAAAATGGTCCGCTTTCGGTGGGCTTACCATCGCACCTGTCTTCGTGGCTGGCTCGCAGTTGCACATGTAAGGCTGAGGGAAGATTCAGGTTACTTTGGGTCTTCTCATTGGCGTAAGTCGTGGTGGGGATCATAGGGGCTGTGCTCTGTTTGGCAGCTTTCTGTTTTGTTCCAGGCCAGCGTATTGCTTAGAGGTATGCTTCAAGGCTTGGGCAACAAGCCCGCCTGCATGATCTCCCTGGCAGTATCGCGGGCTACAAGCACTTCAGATTTGCAATTGTATATACCGTAATCCCTTCATACTAGTACTAGACACCCCCCAACCCCTCAACCAGTTAAGATATGTCCCCAATATAATATACAAGTTCTCTTATGGGGAATATGCACCAGTATGAACGAACTATTAAACCCTTCTCTACTGAGGTGTGCACCCCTGCGGCAGCTCTGCTGGGCACACAAATAATCTTGATGCTGGTGCTTGTCGGAATGATGACAGCTGCCCTCATCTTCGACTTCCGTGGGAACAGACTGCTGTTGAATCGCTACAACACATTCGGCTTGCTGCTGCTTGCGGTGGCTGTGGGTGTTGAGGTAATCGACTCGGTCTCGCAAGTCCACGGAACCTACTATGACATTATATTCTATGCAATCTGTTCATTCATTGCTGGCACCTGCTACAGCATACAGGCAAAGATGAATAAGAGATTAGCTAGGGATTTGGGCTCCACGGCCCGCAGTGCCCTCTTCTGCAACGTGACTGCCATGGTATGGGCTATCCCTTTGTGGATTCTGGGGCCGCATGTGGAAGTCTTTAAGATCTGGATGGCCCTTTTCAACAGTTTCCGAAAATGTAGGAGCCCTTTTCAAAAGTCCCTCATGGACAAAAGTGCCATTGATTCACGACTATACCTTCAGAGCCCCCTCCAAATTGAAACCCCCCATGCAGTCTTCTGTATGTATCCATATCCGAAGCCAGTTTTTGCCGATATCAACTATAGGATTGTGTTGCAGTCTTCGGGTATTCCCCTCAGTTTTCAAGAGCCGAAATGGTGGATCTGGCTGCTTTGTGGCCTTCAATCGGCATCTGGGCTGCATTTGCAGACAAGTGTTTTCTGCTTCAGTTTTGCCCCTTCTCGCCCTTCTATGCATCGGCTAAATTTCACAGGGTGTGAAGACGATGGCTTTTGGTCATTTCCTTTTATGCAGGCGCACCCATGTATGAACATGAGTTTCAGGGGACCAGCCGCAGGCATTCTATACATATTCCTTGGCGGAGCTGCCGAAGATGATAGGCTATTCTGTCGTCTTTGTGCTGGTGCTGGCAGGTGGGCCTGTCTTTTCGGGCAACACTACCTTAATGTTCCTCTAGGTGCTGCAAGAAGGGATATGCTATTTGGCATACATGGGGAGGCTTTAGAAAGCATAGGGATCTGTCCAGAAGATCTACGTGTTTGATTAGGAGACAAATTGCCTGTACTCAGGTTTGCACTTGTTCGATTGTTGGAGGTGTGCGCCATTCGCTCCTCACAAATCTACTCAGTACCATGACAAGGCAGTAAATGAGCGGTCCTGGAGTTCTGATGCAGATGTTTTGTGCTCGATCCCGCTTGTCATGTAGGGTTGGGGACCCAAAGCCTTATTGACCGCAACGGGAAGAGTCACAGGCCTACAAGGTCCGAGTTTCTCCTGATTGACTGCCGTCTTATAGATGTCCAAGATGTAGCACCATTAGAAGGAATCAGATACCGATGCAGGGCTGCATGAAAATTGCTCTGGTGACCAGGGTCGGATGACGGATGATGATGCAATAGAAAGCACCAAAGTCCCTGCAGTATAGACAGGCAATACATACTTCCCTTCTCAGGATCAAGGTCGTTAGGTTAGAATCTAGGTAGAAAGTGCGGGCTGCAAGAGGCATGAGTACCGGAATCTGCAGTTTGCGTGTTGTGTGCGGTGCTCAGGCTTCATTTTCGCCTGATTATTGAGGGATGTAGACCCATGAGCCCCATCACCTTGAACCCCGTACCCACATGAAGCACATGATGGCTGCATTGCATTAGAGACCCCCAAAACCTAGAACCTAAAGCACTGAACATGGAACAACAGCTCCCAAACCTTAAACCAACAACCCTAAACTCTGAGCCAAATCATCCAAGTCTTGTGCAAACTAAAACTCAAATCAAATGTTCCTAAACCCTTTACCAGCCTAAACCCTGAAGGGAAATTAACCACTGCCTCTTTGGCGGACACCTTCGGACTCTTCTCTGCCCCGCGCCCGGTGTCCGTGGCGCGGTTCGTCAGCGTGGCCTGGGGCCCCGGGTTGCTGAAATACGGGGATTACTTGGGGTGACCCTAAACTCCTTAAAGGGGGGTTATACTATATAGGGTTTAGGGTTTAGGGTTTAGGATTTAGGGTTTAGGGTTTAGGGTCTAAATCCTTAAAGGGGGGTTATATAAGGGATTATATGGGGGACTACTATAAGGGGTTATTAAGGAGGATACTAGGAGTTTAGACAGTGGCTCATATAGGGATTATACAATTGGGGTTATATTGGGCTTATATGGGGGATAATGGAAAAGAAAATGGAAACTAGTATAGTATATTGGGGATATATTTGGGTGGTTGTCAAAATTATGGTCCCTTTTTGGGTCCCTATTATAATACGGCACCCAATATTAATGGTACCCCAAAAAGGGACCATAATTTTGACAACCACCCATATAGGGATTATACAATACAGGGATGATAGAGGGTTATCTAGGCATTTAACTCCAACAACAGAAAATTAAATGGACAAGAATTCATGGAAAATGAGACAGCGTTTGATAGGGCGTGGAGTTTTCTGGAAATGAGGGATCCCTATACTCAGGATAATGTTAGCTAGCGGTCTTTCTTGGGGCCTCCTCTTTATTGAAACCACCATCTCCTCAATATGGGAGGGTAAGGGCTCCTGGCCTGCAGGAGGAGGAGGACAAGTTTTCGTGAGTTGAGAGGTTTAAAACCCAGCACGCTTCAGACGCCACAGCTTCATCCATGCAATCATTCCCTCCAAGATTAGACCACACCTCCTCATCTTGCATGTTCCCTAGATTACAGGTAACTGCAGTGTCTGTGCAAAGTGGGATTAATATTCAGGAGGATTGAGTACTGCCTCACAACTGTTGGTGTCCCGGCTTTTTAGCAGCTTCGCTCACAGACATGACAACGCCACACAGGGGAACAGGTGGATCTACAAATGATGTCAGCCAGGGCCAGTTCTTTTGAAAATGTTGGGAGAGAGGAGGCAGAAGCTAGGGGAGATATCGATATCACCCCTTGAAAGAGGCCAAACCCAATGATCGCAGAGCGGCAACCTTAAAGGCCAAACTTCCGACTTGTTGTCAAATGCACGAGTATCCGTAGTGAAGTCCATCATGATTTGTTAAGAGAGTGGCTGTGGCTGTTTCCTGAGGGGCACTTTAAGGCGGACACTAGTGCAAATAATGGTTACACATTACCGGAAGCGAGTCGTGCTGTGAGAAGGCTGGCTTTAGTACGGGACTCAGGTTCTCAGAGATATCGTAGTCCGGTCCTTCTCTCTCTCTCTCTCTCTCTGTGTCTGAGGGCATCACCATTGTCGGCGCAGCCCCTTGGATACAATGGCATCTCTACTCTACGATTTGAATGTTGAAGATGCGAAGAATAGTTGGTTCAGAGTTTACCGAAACAATTACATCTGTTACATTTCATGTGCGGCAATATTCATTGAGAAGTTAGAGGAACAAGAGCTAGAATCGCGGCTAGGAATTCCAGCGAGCTAGTGGCAGATTTAGAAACATCAGCAATTACACTGACAATTACAAGTAGTTTTACAGCAGTACTGGTATGTCCGCGCACTAGCACACCGCAGGTACTTTTCTCCTACAAGCCGGCCACGCCAGTGGAACGCCAAGCCACCACTGAAGAGCCCATTTGGAGGGATCTGAGCTACATGAGTGAGATGCTCGTCTAGGTTGCTGGAATTTGGCATGTAGGTAGGCCACAGCACCACCATTGCCACCGCCACCGCGACTACTACGAACAATAGTAATAGCCATAGTACGTACTTGCAAGAATTCTATCTGTATCATTACTCCTTCCAACAACAACAATTACTACTACTACTACTACTACTACTACGACTACTACGACTACTACTACTACTACTAGCCGTCCCCCCCCCTACCAAGTATGTTTGCTTAAATTGCCAATATAAATGTGGGGGAAGCGGCATTAGAAAACAG